AGCACTAAAAGCTCTACATCCCCATATATATATAATCTATCAATCAATTTTTTTTTTTTTTTCAATTTTTTTTTTTTTTGGTCACTCACCCAACCCCCGCCCGCCCCCCCTCCCAAATTTTCAAAATTTTGATTTTTTTTTGTACAGGTCGGTAGTGGCCGACGTGCGCAGGCGGCATGCGCGCCTTTTTTTCGCCTGCGCCCCTGCCTGGCCCTGGCGCGGCCGCGGGCCCGCGGCCGGCCTCCTCGGCCGCGTCCGAGGGGGTCATGTAGATTGGAGGCATTGTGTACTCCTTGTATTACTGAGGCCAGCTGACGAAGAAGAGGCTCTACTTTGGGAGATTGCACGAAATGGGAACCCCATGCTCGTCAACTATGTAGACTGTAGTGGTCTACTTGCTATACCACAGGAGGTCTGAGACTCTGAGCTAGTCTAGGGGTTAACGAGGTCTGAGCTAGTCTACGGGTTTCAGTATCTGTAAACTTAATTAACTGCAGGAGGTGGGAGCTAGTTTAGGGTTCTTGTACACTTTCGTGAAATGTCCTTTCTGTCCATGTGGTCCTGGACCTCTTGTAACCTGTTTTATTTGCTCTCATAGACGATGGAAAAAACATTGGGGTGGTGACTCTGGGACTCGCTTGCACAGGTTTGGAAAAAGCTGGTCAGTCTGTTCTCAAGCCTGCAGAATTTATGAATGCTTCTCTAAGTCTCTTTCTAGCTGGAATACCACAGGAGAACTGAGCTGGTTTTAGCCTTTAGGGGTTCATGTACACAGTATTTTTTGTCCATAAGAGCCCTGGACTTCTCGTGGTGTCTTTTAGATGCTCTGGAACCAACGGAACAAATTTTGGGGTTGTTGGGCTTGCATTTGCTGGCACAGGTTTGAAAAAAACTCGCCTTGAGATGAGAGGCCGAAGGAAAATCTCCATGTCTGTTTGTCTCTCTTCATCTTTCCGGCACCCCTTCATCTTCCTTCCCGCTGTTCCCTGGGTGGCACGTAGGATGGATGGTAAGGGAGAGGATCGGAATTGGATGAAGACTTCTCTTTTTTTTTTTGTTTTTTTTTTTGCTTTCAAGACAAACGAAGGTTCGACCATAATGTCAACAGAGTGAGCACAGCCATTGTCATTATCAAACATTTTGTGCTAATTAAAAAAATGGACCATTTCTCGATTTATGCGTGTCATCCCTGCGCAGGGGCCATGCTAATCTTGTTTCTCCGTATCGTTCCAATTTTAACGGATGTCCCGAAGGACTGGTGAAGACTTTGGGCGTACACAACACAACAGGTTTTGCGGGTGGGCCTAATCTACTTGTCTTTCGCTGGGCTTAGTACCGTTATGCCATTGGGTTTCCAACTGAAAACCTCACATGGTCGCCTTACCCAGCTTGTCTGCTTGCCTTGATCATTCTCCTTCTTCCTTTTTTTTTTTTTTTTTTTTTTTTTAAATGCCTGTTTTATATTCCCAAAGAAACTTTTTCACGGGCCGGGGGCCCCCAAAACCAACCCGGGAGTTTCCCCGGCAGCCCCTGGTTTAGCGTTTAAAAAACAAAAATCACCAAAAAAAAAAAAACTGAACACAAGAAAAAAAAAAAGGAAGGTTTTCATTTTTATTCCTTCTCTAACCTTTTTTTTTTTTTTTTTTTTTTTTTTTTTTTTTTTTTTTTTTTTTTTTTTTTTTTTTTTTTTTTTTGTCTTCTTCTTCTTTTTCTTTTTCTTTTTCTTCGTTGCTCCTTCTTCATCTTCGCGGCTATCTCCCTTGCGTCGTCGCTTCTCCTTCTTCCTTTTTTTTTTTTTTTTTTTTTTTTTTTTTTTTTTTTTCTGCATTTTTTTCTGTACTGTGCTATTTTTCTCCAATCTGTGGGTGTTGTTTCACTATTGTCCAGCCGGGGAGTCCTCTGGACCAGCGAGGCCGACTCAGGCCCAGTGGCCGTTTTTCAGGCCTGGCGACTTTTTCTGGGGCTGAACCTCGTTGTGGTTAGCCCCTGATTCTGTCCTGTGGTGAAGACACCCCTATGACCAAGCAGAGGAGCCTGGAGGTCAGGTTACGACCAAGCAAGACCGCTTAAGGCCAGGATTCAGAACCAGGATTCCGTCCTGGACCATAGATTGGCATTACGATTGGACGGCCCAGAATGCAGACCAGTGAAGCAGGAGTTAGCAGACCCAGCACTGCATATAGCTGGGCCAGCCTCCGTTTGAGGCACACAGGATTAGGGAAGTTGTACTACGACGCTGCTGGAGCAGTGTTGGGGAGAGCTGTGCTAGAGTAGAGGTAGAGGATATAGGAGGATGCTGAGGAGAGGGGACTCGCCTGTGGACTCGACTTGGATGTCATAGCTTGAGATTGTCTTCAGGGCGCCCCACCTGCATCACAACTCACGATGCCATGGGATTCTTTTGTGGGATATCAACTTTGCTGCGTTTGCAGTCTTCCTCTTCTCCTCCCCTTCCTCTCTTCCTCCCCTTATTTCGTCTGTGGATGCGTGTACGGGCACGGGCCCGGGGCCGTATTCTATGTGTGGGCCTCCGTGCCCATCCCTCACCAGTGTCATGATGGGTATGCATTGGTCTTGATTCTCTATTGAGTCTGGATGAGTCAGATCCGTGTATGTCCAGTCTTCTGCTGGATTGTGCTTGTTGTTTTCAGTTCGGGTGATCCTTGGTTCTGTGCCATACCCATCTTGCATTGATTGGTATGTGACAGTTTGGCATTGGAACAGACAAAGGGAAACAACCTGATCTGCTCATGGTGGTTTGAAGTAGGGAGTTGAATGTTAAAAAAAAAGAGAGAAAAAAAAGAAAGAGATGCTCCAGTTTATTGGTGAGGAACAGCACCTG